GTAAACTGTGCCGCAATGAACATACATGTGCATGTGTCCTTATAATAGAACAATTTATAATCCTTTGGGTATATACCCACTAATGGGATTGCTGGGTCAAATGGTATTTCTATTTCTAGATCCTTGAGGAATTGCCACACTCTCTTCCACAATGGTTGAACTAATTTACATTCCCACCAATAGTCTAAAAGTGTTCCTATGTCTCCACATCCTCTTCAGCATCAGTTGTCTCCAGATGTTTCAATGCTCATCATTCTAACTGGTATGAGATGGTATCTCAATGTGGTTTTGATTTGCATTTTCCTAATGACCAATGATCATGAGCTTTCTTTCATATGCTTGTTGGCTGCATAAATGTCTTCTTTTGAAATGTATCTTTTCATATCCTTCACCCAATTTTTGATGGTTTTTTTTTTTCTTGTGCATTTTTTTTTAAGTTCTTTGTAGATTCTGGGTATTAGCCCTTTGTCAGAAGGGTAGATTGCAAAATTTTTTTCCCATTCTTTTGGTTGCCAGTTCACTCTATTGATTATTTTGCTGTGCAGAAGCTCTTAAGTTTAATTAGATCCCATTTGTCTATTTTGGCTTTAGTTGCCATTGCTTTTGGTGTTTTAGTCATGAAGTACTTGCCTATGTCTATGTCCTGAATGATATTACCTAGGTTTTCTTCTAGGGTTTTTATGATATTTGGTCTTATATTAGATCTTTAATCCATCTGGAGTTAATTTTTTGTATAAGGTGTAAGGAAAGGATCCAGTTTCAGCATTTGCATATGATTAGCCAGTTTTCTCAACACCGTTATTAAACAGGGAATACTATTTCTCATTGCTTATTTTTGTCAGATTTGTCAAGGATCAGATGGTTGTAGATGTGTGGTGTTGCCTCCGAGGCCTCTGTTCTGTTCCATTAGTCTATATCTCTGTTTGGTACCAGTATCATGCTGTTTTGATTACTGCAGCCTTGTATTGTAGTTTGAAGTCAGGTAGCATGATGCTTCCAGCTTTGTTTTTTTTTTTGTTTTTGTTTTTTTTTTTTCTTCTTAGGATTGTCTTGGCTATGTGAGATCTTTTTTGGTTTCATATGAAGTTTAAGGTGTTTTTTTCCAGTTCTGTGAAGAAGGTCAATAGCAGCTTGATGGGGATAGCATTCAATCTATAAATTACTTAGGGCAGTACGGCCATTTCCACAATGTTGATTCTTCCTAACCATGAGCATAGAATGCTTTTCCATTTGTTTGCGTCCTCTCTTATTTCCTTAAGCAGTGGTTTATAGTTCCCTTGAAGAGGTCCTATCAGAGATTACTACAAACACCTCTATGCATATAAGTCAGTAAATCTCAAAAAAATGGATACATTCCTGGACACTTACAACCTCCCAAGTTTAAACCAGGAAGAAGTTGAATGCCTCAATAGACCAATAACAAGGTCTGAAATTGAGGCAGCAATTAATATAGCCTACCAACCAAAAAAAGTCCAGGACCAAATGAGTTCACAGCCAAATTCTACCAGCGGTACAAAGAGGAGCTGGTGCCATTCCTTCTGAAACTATTCCAAATAATACAAAAAGATGAAATTCTTCCTAACTCATTTTATGGGGCCAACATCATCTTGATATCAAAACCTGGCAGAGATACAACTAAAAAAGAAAATTTTAGGCCAATATCCATGATGAACATTGATGTGAAAATCTTCGATAAAATATTGGCAAACAGAATCCAATGGCACATCAAAAAGTTTATCTATCACGATCAAGTCAGCTTCATCCCTTGAATGCAAGGCTGGTTTAACAAATGCAAATCTATATATGTAATCCATCACATAAATGAACCAAAGACAAAAACTACATGATTATCTCAATAGATGCAGAGAAGGCCTTCAACAAAATTCGACAGCCCTTTATGCTAAAACTCTCAATAAACTAGGCATATCTCAAAATAATGAAAGCTATTTATGACAAACCCATAGCCAATGTTATACTGAATTGTCAAAAACTGGAAGCATTCCCTTTGAAAACTAGCACATGACAAGGGTGCCCTCTCTCACCACTCCTATTCCATATAGTATTGGAAGTTCTGGCCAGAGCAATCAGGCAATAAAAAGAAATAAAGGGTATTGAATTAGGAAAGAGAAGTCATATTATTTATTTTTTAACAATAAGTATATTTGAGAACTAACTACATTCCGTTTTATTCATCCAGTTCTACATTTCTAACAAACAATATGGCTTCAAAGAATTTCTCTTTTTCCTCTTATGATAAATAAATTTTTTTCCTTTAACTACTCCTTTTGGTGAATCACACACTGATATGTAAATGTGAACTCCCTTCCCAGTTTCTATAAGGACACCATGCAAGCAGAGGTATTTATATCTTAATGATGTATGATATAAGAACCTAACCCTGAATACATTTTTGATCTTTGAATTTTAAATACATCAATAATGTTTACTTTGATGTTAATGTATTTTTTCTCAAAAATATCAAGGTTTAGAATCATCAATTGGTTAAATCACCTTTTTAATTATTTTTCTAATTATTTATTGAGTTCCTGCAGTGTTCAGGACTTATGTTTAAGACTCAGCTGGTATGCAGTCATCAAAGAGTAATTTGAGAGCAACATTTGTACATTTGATCTTGTGCATAGTTTTCTGATTACATGCTCATATGAATCAACCACAGCACAGTGATGTAATTGACATATGTGCTTGCAATTAACATCATCCATTTATGAAACCCACATTTATGGAGAATCTACAATGTGCAGAGAGTACTGTGTTAGGCTCTGGGAACATACAAATGAAGAACTCATGATCTTTTTGAAGAAAGAAAGTCATATTTTGTGATAGCAATTACAATCCAATGTGATGCGTATATTGAATATTAAGTCCAGTGAAGACAAAGTCGAGAATATCTAACTTAGTTTGGGTTGGAAGGTAGAAATGGCCCAAGAAAATTTGCTTGGGAAGGCATAAATCAAACCTTTAAATGTAAGTAAAATGTTCTCAGTAAAATGGGCTAGAACAGGCATTTGGACGAGACAAATACACTGTGACAATTAACTGAGCTAGAGAACACTGAGGCATCAGAGTAAGAAAACTACAACATCATATAGTAATTTACCTTATACAGTATTCCTTCCTTATCCATGGTTTTCAGGTAACTATAATCAACAATGGTCCAAAAATATTAAATAGAAAATTTCAGGAATAAACAATTCATGTTTAAATTGCATGCTGTTCTGAGTAGCTTGATGAAAACTTGCATTTTGCTCCACCATGCACGGGATGTGAATTTTCCCTCTGTTCAACATCTCCATGCTCCGTAGGCAACCAGCCCATCAGTCACTTAGTAGCTGTCTCTGTCATCAGATTGACTATTGTGGTATTGCATTGCTTGTGTTCAAGTCACTCCTACTTTACTTAACAATGTGTCCAAAATGCAAGAGTAGGCATGCTGCCATATTATTATAACTGTTCTATTTTATTATTCACTATTGTTGTTAATATCTTACTGTGCCTAATTTATGAATTAAAACTTTATCATAAATATGTATGTATAGGAGAAAACATAGGGTCTGGTACTATTCTAGGGTCTGATACTATCCTTATTTTTCAGGCATCTACTGGGGTTCTTCCCTTCCCCATTTGCAAATAAGGGGAGACCACTTTATTAATTAGAGAATAAAGTCAATGTGTATATTATCAAAAGCAATATCATTATGTATTTTCGGTGTTTATTTTTGTGGGTTACTGAGCTGGTTTGCTAGATATAGAGTCCTGTGTCATGGATGATGCTCTCAGGGGCCTTATAGACTGAGTGAGGCTAGGGATTTACATTAGAAAGACAAGTGTCAATTAAAATTATATTGCAGAGGCATAATCTGATAGTCTGATTTCCTTACTTGTGTGGAGATTTAAAGAGCTAGATGTCTTTCCTTTGAAAATGACTGTATTGTATTATAATAGAAGAGCTGAAAATTTTCTGCGCACTTTTTTTTTTTTTTTTTGAAACAGAGTCTTGCTCTATTGCCCAGGCTGCAGTGCAGTGTCACAATCTCAGCTAACTGCAACCTCCATCTCCCAGGTTCAAGAGGTTCTCCTGCTTCAGCTTCCTGAATAGCTGGGGGCTACAGGCACACACTACCATGCCTGGCTAATTTTTGTATTTTTTGGTGGAGATGCAGTTTTACCATGTTGCCCAGGTTGGTCTCGAACTCCTGACCTCAAGTGATCCTCCTGCTTCAGCTTCCTAGAGTGCTGGGATTATAAGCATTAACCACACTCTCCCAACACTACACACTTTTAATTTGTCAATAATAGTATATATTTGATATTCACTTTCTATCTATTACAAATTGACTAGTTTGTTCTCAAATACATACACATTACTCGATAGGCTTCTAAAGGGTTTACTGTGTGTTAGGCAATGGAATTGCAAAGATAAATGAAGTATATTCTTGACATTTAGCAGCTTACAATCAAATCAGGAGAATGAGCAATCTCTACTTTGACTCCTCACTACAGCTGTAGTAAAAAAGCATAAGGTACTGTGTGGCAAAGGAGAGCAACTAGTGCTTGCAGAAGCATGATGAGCTTCATCAAATGGGGCCATTTGATCTGAGATTGAAACACGAGTAGGAGTTTATCAAGAGAATTCCAGGCACAGGAAATGTGGAGGTGGGATAAGGAGGCCAATTTTGGTATCCACTTGTAATTTGGGCTAGCCAAAATGAAGAATATGGCAGATACTAGCCGAAGTGAACCATGGAGTTCAGCCCACTTTATGAAGGACTGTATAAACCATAAATATTTGTATTATACAATAGTACCTACAAAATATTACTGTACTAACGGTGTCATATGCTTTATATTCTGTGCTTATGTGGTTTCATTATTTTCTTCTAATTACTTAAATTTCAAAAACATTTTTCTCATAATTGTTGATTCTAAAGAATGCTAATACTAAATACTGTGTTTATTTATATTTGAGAAAGCCCTTCCACATGCACTCCTCTGTAGCTCTTCACCATCTTTCCTCATTATCTAAGCCTTCCTCCAGACTGTGGAACCTCTCCTATACCAAATTGCCCTCCTGTCTCCAATCCACAGGGAAGTGCCTCCTGTACTACAATGATGTCCTCGAGTCCCTGTACCTGTGCCCAAATGGTGCCCACTGTTCCACCTGGTTTCAAGATCCTGCCTGCTTCACTGGCACCATGGACACCTCCGTGAAGATTGTGACACACGAGGGCACCAGGACCCTCTGGAGAAGCCTCCCCATCACCCTGGTGATGACTGTGCCAGTTACCACCATCTGCTTCACTGCTTACCACCAAATCAAAGCCTTCCTGTGTGGTCGAGCCCTGACCTCTGACCTCTATGCACCCACAGGTGGCTGGCATGTTGGCCTGCCTGGGACAGCCCCCTGGAGCTCATGAGGACAAAGCTGCAGGCTCAGCACGTGTCGTACCAGGAGCTGGTTGACTGTGTTAGAACGGCAGTGGCTCAGGGTAGCTTGTGCTCTCTGTGGCTGGGCTGGGGCCCCACTGCCCTTCGAGATGTGACCTTTTCAGCCCTGTACTGGTTCAATCATGAGCTGATGAAGAGCTGGCTGAATGGGCTCAGGCCGAAGGACCAGACTTCTGTGGGCATGAGCTTTGTGGCTGGTGGCTTCTCAGGGACGGTGGCTGCTGTGCTGACTCTACCCTTTGACTTGGTGAAGACCCAACGCCAGGTCGCGCTGGGAGCGATAGAGGCTCTGAGAGTGACATCTCTTCATGTGGACTCCATCTGGCTGCTACTGAGGAGGATCGGGGTGAGTCGGGCACCAGGGGATGCTTTGCAGGCTTCCTTCCTCTGATCATCAAGGCTGCCCCCTCTTGTGCCATCACAATCAGCACCTACGAGTTCAGCTAAAGGTTTTTCCAGAGGCTCAGCAAGGACCGGCGTCTGGGCAGCTGAAAGGGGCAAAGAGGCAAGGACCCCCCCCTCTCCACGAATGGAGAGAGGGCAGGAGGAGACCGGGCCAAGCCCCTTTTCCTCAGCACTGAGGGAGGGGGCTTGTTTCCCTTCCCTCCCAGTGACAAACCCCAGGGCAGGGCTGCCCCTCTGGGTGGCCCAGGACTTCCCCAGATCCTTAGATGCAGATTCTCCCTGCTGCTCCTGTCGTGGGGATCATCACTTTTCCACTCCCCAAGTTCAAGACCAAACCTTGCAGCTAGCTGCCCCCTTTCTGTTTCCCTGTTTTTCTGTTTGCTATAGCTGGGTCTGTCTCCAGAAGCCAAGAAACCCTCAGCCTGGCATAATCTCCCTGACCCCTGTTAATTCCCTAAGTCTAAAGATGATGAACTTAAAAAAAAAAAAAGTCACCGTGAAATCACACATGCCTGTAAAGTCACCGTGGATTCACACTGCCTTTTAAATTGTCATTCTCCTTTATATGTGTATAAATGAGACACAAACAGGTGCACCTGGAGATCCCTGGCCTTCCATGCAGTGATCATGGTCTCAGTGAATCTGGGAATTCATTTCAGGAAGACAGTCTTTTCATAACCCAAACCCAGTGAAATGCAGTCACTAAAGATGGTCACATTTGGCAATGGACAATAAAATGTAATCCACAAAGTGTCACATTTGAACAAAATGATGCCTTTGTATTATTTTCTCACACATTTCCCTTTCAATGAATCTTAACACGTGTCACCGTGAGAGGGGACAGATAGTAAAATTGTTACAAATACTCTCCAAAAGTATATACATACTAAAAGTTGTCTGCTTGTATGTATAGTACATAGTACACATACACACGCACACACAATTTTTATAAATGTGTAAACACATATTTTATGATATGATGGTTAATATATTAAACACTTATTTCAAAGAGCTTTTGATTTTATATGTAATATAATTTTTCATCATTCATTTTCACATTTAATACATATTAAAATTATTATTATTATTATTATTACATGAGATGGTTCATGACATTTTTGATGTTAAAAAGTCTACTTAGGCTGGGCGCAGTGGCTCACGCCTGTAATCCCAGCACTTTGGGAGGCCGAGGCAGATGGATCAAGGGGTCAAGAGATCGACACCATCCTGGCCAACTTGGTGAAACCCCATCTCTACTAAAAAATACAAAAATTAACTGGGCATGGTGGCATGCACCTGTAGTCCCAGCTACTTGGGAGGCTGAGGCAGGCAAATTGCTTGAACCAGGGAGGCAGAGATCGCAGTGAGCCAAGATTGCGCCACTGTACTCCAGCCTGGCACCTGGCAACAGAGCAAGACTCTGCCTCAAAAAAAAAAAAAAAAAAAAAAAAAAAGTCTACTTAATCTCACAGCTTTACAAAATTATCATTTTAAATGACTTTCTTCTTTATTTGCTGAAAGAATTAGTGGTATCAATTTAAATATTCTCCTTTGTTTAAAAATGACATTCTGATGTTTCAGAACTAGAAAAAAATTGATTTTTCCAAGAAGCCTATTATATAAGATAAAGGCACAGGAAGTCCATTTTAATATCTCCTTGAATTTAATACAAGAATGAATCAAAAGTCTTTTATGTGATATGGAACAAGGTTTAAAATTCTCCCTTATCTCTTATCCTGACATTCTTTCCAAAGCAAAATAGAAAGCTGTCACTGTGACCATTTTTGCCTCTCCACCACCAAGCTCAGGACCAAAATCAAGAGTCACTTTCTTATAGCTGCATCTTCATGAGGACTATACTAAATATATATTGTAAAATTTAGAACAAAACTTGTTTCAACACCATGCACTTGAGAATGTATAGTAAATATAGATTTCTCATGATTTAGCAATTAAAATTACTTTTAAATTGTTTTGAAAAGTAGGTCTTAAAAATTAACCCTGGTACAGATATTAATTTCAAAGCAAAGCTCCTGGTTTATTTTTATCCTCTAAAAAGCACACACTTTTTGATCATTCAAGTATTTTTTATGATTAGGATCCAGTATATACAACAGGCAAATAGTATTCATCAAGATTTTTCTTTTATGAAATGTCAGATTTTCCTATGGGAATATAGTGTTTGCTTTGGGTTAAACTTTATCTAGTCTGAGAGATATTGGAACGTTCAACTAAGCCTCAAGTGAGAGGTGGCTAACATGAGAAGTAGATAAACCCAGCTGTATAAAATAAAGCCCTTGACCTAGAAGAGCCCAGATTTCCGTGAATAAACAAATAGTGAGATAATAATACTGTCTAGTAAGTGCTATTCCAGAGATACAATAAATTAGGTAAAAATGATCAAAGTGGGTGCTGCACTCCCCCAGCCTTTCTTAGAATAATGATTTTGAATGAACCAAATGAAAAGATGAGATTCTGCAGTGGTTCCCAGATTATGAAAAGAATCCCCCATTGCAAAGTGTCTCTGTGTAGTTAGAAAGCACAGAAATCCTAGTTGCTATTACTTTCTGACTTCTGGTTCTAATGGGCCATCTGGTTCACAATTCTTCTGTAAGTAACTTAATGCTTTGTGTAATTAAGAGGGCATATGCTTCTTGTACAAAAATCACTGTTAGATCTCCTTTGCATGGCAGAAACCAACATGGACTCAGTCTTGATACCAGCTTTTATCTGCTGCCAATAAACTTTCAAGTTACTTAATAACATTCAGAGAAAATGATGATGTATCTTACAGTTACCAAGATAAACATATGTGTTATTCTACATTATTCTGAGACTCTACTCAGGGTAACTTAGCACCTTGTCATTCACCATACCCATTTTCTACCAACACACTTTTATGGTGCCCATTTGACCAGATCTCAAGCAAAGCTAAAACTCTCTTTAGAATCTTCTTATTCTTTCTGCAATCTACTTACTTTATAACAACATTCCAGCTCACTGACTTTTACAATCTCAGTGGGAAATAATCTTTTTTTCTATTAACCTAGCCTCTGCAAAGTAAGAACTGCAGGTGTATGGTCAAAGAAATGTGAGTCATCTGTATAATTTTATACATGAAGGGGACAAAATGTATATCACTGTTTTCCATGTTCTGAGAATGGACTTTGTTTGATCTTGATTCAAAATAGCTACAGAATTAAGCTCTTTATCTTGAATCCTTTTTCTGCTTTAAGTTGCTGGAAGCATGGTCTAATTTATTTCCTTTATTCTGCTCAATGCATGTTAGAGACATCAGAGAACACTGATTTTTCACTCAAGCAGTAATTGTCAGAGACTTTGGATGGAAGTCAGTTGGTGGGCTTCTGCTCATACCAAAATTCACTATAGGCAATGGGAATTTTGAAACTTAAAACTACTTAGTATCAAAAGCAATGTGATGTATGAGTTCATGACTTAACTTTTATCTATTCTTTAGAGGCATGTATTAGATTGCAGTAATGATCATAATTATTCTGTACTTCTCATATCCATGGCTTTGCTATGTAACATTATAATAACCTCCACCCATGATTAGAGAGAACTTCTCTGTCTGGGCTTGGCAATGTAATTTACTTCTGCCCAATAAAGGAAGCTGAAGGAATAGTGCTCCAGTTCTGAGCCTAGGCTTCAAGATAACTCACATGTCTGTAATTGAGTTACTATGCTTCTGTCATAGCCAGAAAAGGACGTTCCTGGCAGGCTTTTATTCCTGGGAGAGAGAGGAAAGTCATGTGTAGGAGAGCCAACCCACATTTAGATGAGAAACTCAGCTAAGATGCACTGTACTCTATAGATGCATGAGAAATACAAGTTTATTGTCCAATGCCACTGAGGTTTAAGGTGACTTGTTTAGCAGCCAAGAGCAATGAGTCTGCATCTGGACTGCTCTAAATAGAAATCCAGTGCCAGAGGTGGCTATTCATTTTTTCAGAAATCCTTATTGAAATCTACTACAAAAGTTTTGTTAGTTAGCATATCATTTGTTAGAAATAACTTTTTACACATAAAATGAGGGGTGTTCAAAATATGTCACTGGTCTTACTACAAAAATTATTTGGGTCATACCACACAGATAACCTACCCAGCTTAGCAGGCTAATGCCTTTGGAATCAGCATGCTCTCCTTTCTTCATGTAGAACTACATCTCCTGTCCTGATTCTAGGACTGATTAGATTACAATAAACTAATAAATAAAAATGAATAAATGACCACATGATAAATTTTGAGTCTGCTTGCTAATAAACATTTGCCTTCTTGGAAAATGGTCCTCAGACTTGCTTTCATGATGAAATATAGAGATAGCCATGCATGCTTTGTACTAAATACTTCTGGCTCTTCACCTTCCATGGCACATTGCATTTTTAACCTTTTCGTGTTTATTGTTAAGAAGTTGGGAGAGCCACTTCTTGAGTGGGTTTTTTAATGCTGCTACAAAATCTTCTAGGACTCTTTCCCTTTGTCTTCTGCTGTGGTCATGGGCAATGTTTTATTTAACTGCTGTCTGTTACTCTGGATCACAGAGTGAGGACAACAAGGACAAGGTCAGAAATCTCAGCATTCTCTAAATGGACCTCCAAAGCCTTTATTATTTTAGCCTCTGAGATTTGGGAATTGCTTCTTTCTCAGCATACCCAAGGATCTCACACCATTTGGTAAGAAGGCTATCAGGGAGAGGAGGTACAGCTGATCTAGCATTCACTTTCTCTAGTCACCTCCAGTGAATAACAGCAATGGAATTTGGAAGCTACTGGATGGACAACTTGGCAAAGGTGATGTTGATCTATTTCTATATCGATAACTAAATGCAGCTGTCTCTTCCCAGATGAAAAATACTTATTGAATCTTTTTCTGGACTGAGAATCAGCTGATAGGGTGCTAATTCTTTCTCAGTCAATAAGTAGATTGTCTTGAATAAAATATTTAATTTCTCATGACTTGGTTCTGCTCTGAAAGTAGAGAGAATATTTGGTTTAGAAGCTTCATAGTGTTTAAGAATAATGACAGCGGAAAATTCTGGGGGGAAAGTTAATATAGTTAAATAAACT